CTTCTATGCGTTCGTTTGACGTTTTGTTGACTACAGATGTTACTTGTGGAGATATCCGTTCATACATTCTGTCAGCGATTTCCGCCAACTTGTCAATATCTGCGTCTTCATCTCCAAATGCTAATACTTGCTGAATGTTGTGGGGTAATCGTCTTAGCCATAATTGATAGAAAAACCTGGCGTCTACCTTCCGATCTCCTAAAATGTTAGACACATGACTTTTGAGTTGAGAAGGTGTTCTATCGCCCAGGCTAAAATTGCTGAGTAGCTGATCGATAGCTTTCTGATCTGATAATGAAGCAACTTTAATAACCTTCTGCTTTAAAACATCGTACGGAGTTTCTGGATCTGGATGTATGAGCGTCTCTCGTACTTGCTCTGCTACATCGTCAGGTAATATGGAGCTTGCAAGGCCAAATTTTGCAGTCTGAGAAGTGACGTGGTTGGCTAGGAAGTAGTGTTCCGGGCGAGTGAACCACAAATATGGGTCGTTAGGTTTAAAAGGTGGTATGGATATGGTAACTGCAGCCACAGACCTTGTACTTAAAGTGTCGTTTTCAGTATTAAATGACATCATAAATGTGCAGAAAAGAATATATATAGGTGACAGCAAAATTACAAAAAGTGAGCAAAAACAGAACAGAATATGGGTAAGTTCAAAAATGTCCAAAAATGTTCTGCTTACCGAGGTACTTTAAGCAAAAAATATCAGCAAATATATATCCGAATGTTATGCAGTTATAATAGTAAATACGATAGCAAAGATAATTAAATCCACTGTGTATATACGTCGAAATGATGTAGTCGATCGATCAGCCATGTCGGGCTCACCAATTGTTGTGCTGCTATATTTTGACTAAACTAGCGTACACGTATATCTTAGTACTTCTTCGCGTTTATAATTGTGTGCTAACGTTGCGATTACTCGACATCCACAACGTAATTCAAAAGGCACTTGCGAAGGAATACGATAGTGTATTATTGCAGCAATCAAAATTCAAAAATCGAGCGAGTACAAAAGTATCAATTGTTAACATGCAATCTTTAGAGTGATAAACAAATCAAAGTCCAATTACATAGTGAAAGTATACTGCGATGATGAATAATAAAACGGGTCACTACACAAACACTTGTTCAAAGGATATTTTCTTAACAGCCGTGAATACTAATATTATTATATGCAACCGGATTAAACGTAAATGAAATACTTTACGCAAGGCTTGATGACACATTGAGGAAATAATAACAGTTTAAGACTGACGCATTTCACATAAGTATTACTACGTTTCCTATAATTCTGGTTAACTCTGCAATGTCCTAAAAATGATAAGTAAAAGAGACAAAGTTAGTCGACATAAATGCATGTATTTGCAAGGAAACAATAATCAATGAAGTTAAAAATAATTCAGAATGAAAGAGTGCATATCTACACTAAAAACAGTCAATAAGAATCCAGTGAAAAAATCACAGTTTTAGAGTTTTTTATAGCTGCGTCATAGTCATCATAAAGTCCACTAAACACTCTATCCGCAACATCTGCATGAGTTTACCTCAGTTGGTAGTGGTGTTGGACCAGTGTCTTTGCAGTTTCCGTCACCACCAGATCCGTTCAGAGAAAGTGGATGTGAGGTTTTCAATCAGAGATTAAGATGGTATCCCTTCGAATACCTTCAAAAGCGTCGAAAAATATCTGAGGATGTATATATATCATGTGAATTAATATTGAGGTAGGAATGGTGGTGGCTTTCTATTTTAATACGTATCATCAAAAATTCACCCTGATAGTTTCAATAAGTAGAAAAGAGATCCCTCCCTCAAAACTCTGTTCATGAACACCTTATCGATTCTGTACATTGCACGAACCAAACAGTTCAACTTCACAGTCATCCACAGATTACTCTACAATTCATAAATAATTCTCATCCACACATTAGTGATAACAAAACACGTATTCCAGAGGAGATGCTCCTTCTGGTGAATTGATTATCCTCCCTAGTTGCACACTCGCATTCATATACAACCCAATTTTCATGAAAGACAATAATAACAAAAGTGATGATGAGTTGTCACAAACATATTTGGTAATATGAGTCAATGAATAAAAGAATTTCACAGGGTGTCTAGATGAGAGATACATTATAATGTGAGTAATTCAGTAAATGAGCTGTAATCAGGATGCACATAGAAGCTAAGGAAAATATGGAATTACATAAGTGTGAGTTGTGAAGAAATACAAGAGTTCAAAGAAGTCAGAAAAACAAACAAGGAGACGAACAAAACTCAGGTTAGTATAAATCTACGAGGATATTACCATGATATTAGAAATGTTTGAATAAATTACTCAGTATGCATAGTCCCGATGTTTAGACATCAGTCAGTAAGCCTTCAGCAATGCAAAAGTGACGAACGAGTACTGTCTGTAGCAGGATGTTCTCCATGAGACTTGGCAGCAAGTCTTCAGTGGATGAGAAATTACGCAGACTTGAAAACCGACAAATATATGAGGATTACAGACGACCATTTACTTACTAGTTAGTTGTCACTCACCTTGTGCATCGCACATGTGGATGCTCACGACAGCGAGTAGGCTGAGTAAAATGACACACTGTTGCATGTGCATTCTCCAATACTGCACTCTGTCAACTTCTACTCTCACAACTGACTCAAACCAACACTCACGTTTATACCCAGACTACCCATCAAAAAATATATTCACCAAACAAACAAACACACACACGCACATAAACAACACTGAGCATGTGAGTGACCTCCTTATACGTGCTGACCATTATTCGCTTATCAGTCCCACACAGTCTTTTTATGAATGAATAATCAGGTCATGTATCACATGCAGTGTATATTAGTCACTAATCGTAAGTAGTTTAGCCTCTGATTCACTCGTCACATTGTGTGTATTCCACTGAAGCATTTCGGCGAAGTACCACCTTTCTATTCAGACAATTATGTCTACACTAACTGTTCTGTTTCACTTCTCCGTGGGAACTTCAATTGTTATTCCACAGTGTCGTCGTCCTAACGCACTTCCCTTTCACCTGTTGATCCACAACATGCAGATCGGCAGATTTGCTGTTTTAGACCCTTATGTACTGATGTATACGAAATATACAAATGCATTCTCGCATATTGAGGGATAGGCTTTACTTAAGAAGAATGCTATTTCGTGTGGAATTGCATCGCGGCAATTCATGTCTTTCTCGTGATCACATCACTCGCATATTGCTGTATGTAATTCTATTTGTACAATTTGTCACTGAATGCATGAAGAAGAATTAGATTTCGTCGAGAAGTGCCTAAGAGAAAATGGATGCCCTAAGGGATTTATACAGAAGTATTGCAGAGAAAAAGATAAGAAAGAAAAGCATTCATATGGAAAATAATACTACCAATCAAATCAAGTAAAAACAATGGAACTATATAAATGAATTTAGGAAGTTGTGTGATTACCTTGATATGATTATGAGCAATAAATTGTGCTCGAAACGTCACCAGTAAATATTACTGTATAACACTGTGAGACTCTATCAAAATAAAATTTACCCATAATGGAATTACACTCTACCACAGTGCCCAAGTTTTATTCTTATATCAAAAAAGATAAGAAAGAAAAACACCTAATTGTAGAAAAAAAGAAAGTGTTTATTCGTCTCCCATTCAAAGGAGATGCAGTGTCACAAAAGGTTGACAACGGCTGAAAGGTGCAATAAAAAGAAACTTCCTGGCAGCGAAATTCATAAGATTATACAACACCCCTCCTTCCATGATCCACTCAAAACTGGATAAATACCCTGCTGATGTCACCTCCAACTGCGTTTATGAATTTAGGTGCACTTGCGGGAGAAAGCACATTGGAAGGACGGAAAGGAGGACATCTATCCGGTTTTCTGAACATATTCCAAGAAACCTGTGCCTAAAAGGAAGCAAATATTATCAGAGTGCAATTACCAGACATCTTGTTTATACCGGACATCTCGTAGAGATTTCTAAGTCCTTCAAAAGAATATTTAATAGACAAAGGACAGCAAATTTACTTCCATTTGCCTAAGCGATAGCAATCAAACGATTTAAACCAGACTTATGAATACAGAAAGAGAGTGTGATTAACCTCTCACTCCCTTGGTAACTGAATTTTGATTCTGATTACATTAATCAGTCATCTAATTCAGTGATCTCAACTCACTGAACAAATCTTATTCTCATAAACTGTAACCGCTTTTTCTTTTTGAGTTGCTGTGTGAAACTACAAGCTAACACTGTTCTGTTGATAAGTTTTTGCTGTCCTACCACTCCCACCCTCTTTTCAACTTTGAACGCGTATAAATTGATGATGAAAACTTAAACTAAAAATTGTAATGCTTTCATTTTGGGTGTGTCACTTTTATAGTATTTCTTCTCTACTAACATTAAACAATTAAAGTATGTTATTATCATCTGCATAACGATTGTAATTTCATGTAGTCTGCAGTTAGCTGATGAGAACCTGTAAAATAGAATGATATCATTTTATACTGCAAATTTCGTCTTCCTTTCTCTATCGAAATGCATATATTATGTCATTTGATCCGTTGTCACACATGTGAAGTAACAACGGTTTCAGAATGCAGGTGCAGTGTTCAGATAATGGCACTGAAGCTCAACCTGACTGAAAACTAGTGCGAAAAAAGACGAGAAAAAATAGATGGGACAATCCACTGCCCATCGAGCGATCACGTACGCGAAGTAGAGCGAAATCTGCCTGTCTATTTTGGACATATCAATGGGTATCGAGGAAGTACAGAACACAATCAATTTAATCAGACACCATCATGCCAGTAGATACATTAACCATGAAGTTCAAAGCTCGAAGAAACAGAAACTACCCACAACCCGGAAAAAATAACACAGATGTGTAGGTGAACACAAATATTATTTCAACAATTACATTACACAGATACACACAGTATTCATTGATTCATTATCCGAACAGCATCAGAGTAAAAACATTACTTCTGTCCGAGTGTTTTCATGTCCAGACATTGACCATAGAAACATCTGTTGCTGCAACACTCTTCATTCTTCTGACACGGTGAACTCATCTTGAGACAATTATGGATACATGTTCCAGATCGAAGAGTGCTCATCTTGCATTCATATGGTGGACAACACTTCTTCTTCATACTTGCAGTACAAGACTGACCGAGGGCGATGCACTGACCTGGAATGTAAATGCAGTAAATCAGTGAGATAACACTTGCTTCTACAGTCATCATCAGTGAGAATAGAATAGAATATTGGGTGCAAAACACATTGCATCTAAATGGTGATGACGATGTCATGTGGTCGTGTCTGTGTTTGTTTGCGTGTCTGAGTGGTGAAGTGGTGAAGGGGAGTCCACGGACACACGATATGAGTCTGATCGAGGAAATGACTGACAATCAATTACAACTTGCTTCTATAATCATCGAAATCGAAGTAACACATGAAATGGTGGAAAGCTTCTGTTATAAATATGATAAAGATGCGTGGATGTGAAGATTCCCCTTGATATTTGAACAACAAGAAATATGCTGAAGTCCAAAGAAATCCCATCACCTGACACCCACATCGACGGATTCCAACAGTCCGAATTCTCCAAAATTAAGAGCCTTCAAGGATATGACGACTTACTTGGGGAGAGAAAGTGCGAAATGTCAACTATTCACACGTCTCTAAATTAAAACTCAAATGCGAGTACATGCCAGTTAAGGCATTCCGATATCCTAATCGTCCCTCCCCATTTCGTGTATACACAAAGTGGAAACTGTTTAATACAAATCGTCACATTCACCCAGACGGAGCTGAGAACCACAAATTTAGAGAACTGACATGCACTGACGATTGCAGACTGTATTGAACAATCCGCTGACATAAAGACAGTGGCAACATTCTGTATGCAGACAACATGCTACATCGAATAGTGGACTCGTGAGTAAACCAAAGTGGAGATAATCTATTCCCTATTTCCATAAACTACCTAGATCACTCGACATAAAAGAGGACGTCTCGTGAGACAACTAGCACATAGTGACAAACTGATTGTGTAATCAGTGTCCTGCCTGGATGGAGTTGTCCACCGTCGTAGACAGGTAACACGCAGCCACTTCGCCCAAACGAACGTGTATTCCTCACCTCACTGAAATCCCTAGGAGTATGCGTGTTCGTCCAATGATATAATACAGTACATGACTTACTTTCATCTCCACACTGTCCGTCTATACACAGCTTGCTGCAACATTCTTCATTCTTCTGACATTGCGCTTTCAATTGATAGCATGACTTCACACACGTCCCAGACCTGAGACCCGTCATTTGACACTCGTTCGGTGGACAACACTGATTCGCCAAGCTTGCAGCACAAAATTGTCCGACTGGGATGCAGTCGCCTTGGTCACCTGGAATGTAGATTCAGACAACAGAACCATCATCGTGGTAATCACATTGATACAGATGAAAAGGTGTATACATGATGTGAGTGGAAACTGTGATCATCGGGGTGAAGTAAAATGAGATTGTGCTCTAGGTATATCGACATGACGAGGATATAGTTGACAAGGCGTCTTGAACTACTAGGTCAACAACACCAAGTTGTAGGCCCACATGTCCAAAATCTCAAGAAATCACTCATCACACACCCGAAAACGGACACACACAACTCTGATACAAACATATATATATGTATATATGCAGCTTCGCCTGTAAACCTAAGGACAGTCTCACTCTCCGAGAGCATTTACAAGAAATGTTCAATGGACAAGAAGCAACACAGACCTACAAACCCACAAATACATGGAGATTACAGACGACCATTTACTTACTAGTCAGTTGTCACTCACCTTGTGCATCGCACATGTGGATGCTCATGACAGCGAGTAGGCTGAGTAAAACGACACACTGTTGCATTTCCATTATCCAATGCTGCACTCTGTCAACTTCCACTCTCACAACTAACTCAAACCAACACTCACTTTTATACCCAAACTACCCATCATCAAATATATTCACCAAACAAACAAACACACACACTAACACACACTCACAAACAAACAACACTATGAATGTGCGTGATTTTCCAACACTCTATAGGGAGTAGTCGAATTTCATCAAACCATCGACCCACCCACACACACTCAAAATGTGTTATCCGACTGAGTCATGAGGTCACACATCACGCTCTTTGTCACACGAATGACAAATCACATGTAGTTGGTTTTCTTTTGGATGTTTTGACATTCACGTTCGAAATGTATTATTTTGTGTATTTTAGAGAGTCATTTTAATGAATCAACATTAATTTTCTCGTACAATGCATCGGATTCCCTGAATTATCCCGCTATCTTTGTGACAAATGTATCAAGTTTATGTTGTCGCGAATCGATTTTTATTAGACTGTAAAGTGTATGAGATGCGCAACTGCAGTGCCAGCTAAAGAGGATTTCATTGAAAGAAATGAAATGAATATGTGCTGCTGAAGCCCCGTGTCTTATTTACAATATGAGGTAACAGTAAAAATGACCGAAATATCACTTCTGGACTCCAAATTATCATACATTTTTATGGAGAAATAATGCACGCCATTCTTCAGTGGCAGTGATGATTAGACATACAGACACACTGCATGTCCACCAACTCGGAGTGTCTAGACTCCACGTAAAAACAGTAAGACTGTGCTAGTCAAAGCACCGCTAGACAGACATTTCACAGGCAGGCTAACGCCTTGAAGGAACTGTAGGTCGCTCATTTAAACGCATGCCTAACTGCCTCGTTATACGGTTAAAGGCCATTAACTGATATGCCTTTCCTGAATCCAGCTTGTTCTGGGGAGGGGCGGAATTCTGCATTCACAGCATCCTTTATTCTCTCCAATAGGACGCCATCTCATATTCTACCTGGTTTGGACAAGAGCGTGATTCCGCGCCAGCCTTTACAAATACCCAAAGTCGCCCATCATTGGTAGTTTGACAAAGTAACCTTTCTGAAAATCAGTAGGTACTTTTCCGTTCTTGCTTGCAACATTTCTGAAATGAAGACGTTAACATATCGACTACTATCACTGGGTTTTTCTAATTGTTTCTGGATGAAATCCGTCCATTCCCGCTACTTCACCGGCTGGCTGGCTTTCCGAAACCTCACATTTTGTGTTCTACACTTGTCAGAGATTGATATTCATGGACATTTCTGCGCCTGTTGCTGGCGGAATTTCCGGAAGAGTTGCAAGTGATGGTCGATTCAGGAGTCTTTTGAAATGATAAGCCCAAGTTTTCCTCTTTGTTTCTCCCGTTTGATGATTTCGTTCGTCTGCTAAATTGTCTCTAACTGGTTTCGTCTGAGCTGAACTCTTCCCTGATTTAGACCTGACTATCTTAAATAATGCTCTGAGGTCTCAGTTTACTTGTGGCATCGGGCGGTTTCTCCACCCTCTTGAGATTGAGATAGAGATTGACTGGGTTTGGTGTATCCATCTGATGAAAGACACATCACCTTGTGTATGTCCTTTTTCTCGTACACGCCGTCTATAGCTACCTAATGATTGGAAGTGCCAAAGTCTCTGTACACTTCTCCGTTCTTATTCATTTCACCAACAGCCTCCGAAGACAAAAGTAGTTCGTTTGTTGCCTTGTATAAGGCTGGTTATGCATTCATGTCACCTATACGGATTACATATTACCATCTCGTTATATTCTGATGGACTACTGTTTGCAGTCGTCTACAGAAATCTTTCTTCTCATCTTCATCTCGATTGTTTGTAGGCGAGTAGCATTGGATGATCGTAGATTTTCTACCATCCTAGTTGAATTTCGCTGTCATTATCTTGTTGAGAGAGATTAGTTTTCACTGAATAAGAGCTTCTGCTGGTGTTGTTTACATCATGATAACCACTCCATTAGTGGGTTTGTGGTTGTCGTCTGGGTGACTGGTGTAGATTATTGACTCTCCTTTCAGTTAAAAATTCGGGGAGTCCACGTCTATTTCATCTGCTCTCACACATTCTTAGCACTTTCATTGTATATCTTCCCATTTCTATAGCAACCTGGACAGGATCTCCAGATTTGTACACTGTGCGAAAATTCCACATCTCCGTGCATACTTTTGTTCTCATAGAAAGAAGAAATAACTGCTGACGGGCTTTCCGAAGGCTTTCACCAGCCCACATCATTATGTTTCCCCGATTCCGGTGAAAAACAAGCTTGCTGTTTGTATTTGTGTTGCTTGTCGAAGTTTCTGCAACGATTGCATTGCTGTCCAGGGTTATAGTCAATTGCCACACGACCATCTTCCTTTTTATAACATCCTAATACTCATAATAGGTGAACTTGGTGAGTTTTCGACTTCGAATTGTAGGAAGTGATTGTACTAACCATGCAGAAGTGGGTGCGTTGGATTAGAAATATGCTGTAAATGGGGTTTACTGTGTGTCAGCCGCGAGATTTGTATAGACAGCCGACATGTGTTGTGCGAGGATATACAACAATATTTGGTCAGTACACAGAAATCGAAAAGTAGTCAAAGGAGTGTATGGTTAGTTAAGGGAATCCAATGCAATGTACGAGAAAATTAATGTTGATTCATTGAAATGACTCTCTAAAATACACAAAATAATACATTTCGAACGCGAATGTCAAAACATCCCAAAGAAAACCAACTACATGTGATTTGTCATTCGTGTGACAAAGAGCGTGATGTGTGACCTCATGACTCAGTCGGATAACACATTTTGAGTGTGTGTGGGTGGGTCGATGGTTTGATGAAATTCGACTACTCCCTATAGAGTGTTAGAAAATCACGCACATTCATAGTGTTGTTTGTTTGTGAGCGTGTGTTAGTGTGTTTGTTTGTTTGTTTGGTGAATATATTTGATTATGGGTAGTTTGGGTATAAAAGTGAGTGTTGGTTTGAGTTAGTTGTGAGAGTAGAAGTTGACAGAGTGCAGTATTTCAGAATGCACATGCAACAGTGTGTCGTTTTACTCAGCCTACTTGCTGTTGTGAGCATTAACATGTGCGATGCACAAGGTGAGTGACAACTGACTAGTAAGTAAATGGTCGTCTGTAATCCTTATATGTTTGTGGGTTTGTAGGTCTGTGTTGCTTCTTGTCCATTGAAGATTTCTTGTAACTGCTCTTGGAGAGTGAGACTGTCCTTATGTTGTAGGCGAAGCTACATATATATATATATACATCAGAGTTTTGTGTGTCCGTTTCCGTGAGTGTGATAAGTGACTTCTTGAAATTTTGGACATGTGGGCCTACAACTTGGTGTTCTTATCGAAGTAACTTAAGATTTCTTGTCAACTATATCCTCTTTATATCGATATACCTAGAGCATAGTCTCATTTCATTTCATCCTCATCATCACAGTTGCCACTCACATCATATACACAATTTTTCATCCACATTCCAGGTGCCCAAGGCGACTGCATCCCAGTCGGACAATTTTGTGCTGCAAGCTTGGCGAATCAGTGTTGTCCACCGAACGAGTGTCAAATGACGGGTCTCAGGTCTGGGACATGTGTGAAGTCATGCTATCAATTGAAAGCGCAATGTCAGAAGAATGAAGAATGTTGCAGCAAGCTGTGTATAGACGGACAGTGTGGAGATGAAAGTAAGTCATGAACTATACTATACAGATAGACGAACATGCAAACGCTTAGGGATTTCAGTGAGGTTTGTCACTATGTGCTAGTTGTCTCACGAGACGTCCTCTTTTATGTCGAGTGATTCAGGTATTTAATGGAAATGGGGAATAGATTATCTCCACTTTGATTTTCTCACGAGTCCATTATTCGATGTAGCATATTGTCAGCATACAGAGGGTTTCCACTGTCTTTATGTCAGCGGATTGTTCAATATAGCTGACAATCGTCAGTGCATCTCAGTTCTCTAAATTTGTTGTTCTCAGCTACGTCTAAGTGAATGTGACGATTTGTATTAAACAGTTTCCAATTTGTGTATACATGAAATGGGGAGAGACGATTAGGATATCGGAATGCCTTAACTGGCATGTACTCGCATGTGCGCTTTAATTTAGAGACGTGTGAATAGTTGACATTTCTCACTTTCTCTCCCCCCAGTGAGTCGTCATATCCTTGAAGACTATTAATTTTGGAGAATTCGGACTGTTGTTATTCGGACTGTCGATGTGGCTATCACGTGATGGGATTTCTTTGGACTTCAGCATATTTGTTGTTGGTCATATTTCAAGGGGAATATTGACGTCCACGCATTATTATGATATTGATAACAGAAGCTTTCCATTATTTCATGTGTTACTTCGATTTCGATGATTATAGAATCAAGTTGAAATTGATTGTCAGTCATTTTCTCGATCAGACTCATATCGTGTTTGCGTGGACTCCTCTTCACCCCTTCAGCACACACACACAAACAAACACAGA